GCATAATCAACCCCTCCTCCCACACACACACAATTAAAATAAAAATGAAACCATTTTGTTTTTTTTTTTTTTTAATACAGGGTATCTCTGTGTATCCTTAGCTGTCCTTAGCTAAGGACTTTGGCTATCCCAGAACTCGCTCTGTAGACCAAACTGACCTCAAACTCACAGAGATCCACCTGCCTCTGCCTCCTGAGTGCTGTGATTCAAGGTGTGTGCCACCACCACTCATCTAATAAAATGATTTTTTAAGACAAACTTACTTTATGATGATGTCCAATGCACTTTAAAGTGTTCAAAATGATGGATGTTTTTTCATGAGAAGTCTATATGTAAACACAAAGGGCCTGGTTAGCTGGTAAACATTCTACCAAGACAATCTCTATTGAAGGTGTAGTTTAAATGAGTTCACCAGACTCAAGATAAATGATAAATAGGTGTTTATTAGAGGAGAACTTACACAAATAAGAGTAAATAACCTCCAAGGCCTTTCTGCTCCAGAAGATGCAGTCTCTGCCCTTCCAATGCTCTCTGTGATCGAAGAGAGCTTGAGCTAGGCCCTCCTCTACACCTGAAACCATGCCCAAAGTGTGTGGCCACTACTACAAGCTCACTGACAAGGCAAGATGCCTTTATAATTCCCTTTTTCCCCTAAAAAAGAGGGTTTACGCTTAATATAAAAACTATATGCAATGATAACAAATATCAAGTATATTCTAGGAGAAGAAAGGTAAAATCATACACAAATTAAGACCTACAACCAGCAAGAGCAAGAATGAGCAATAGACACATTCTACATGTCCAATACCAGGGTAATGGAATAACAGAGTTAGGACTGATAACAGTTCTAATGTGGAAAATCTATGTCTTGTACCTAGTATTTTCTATCTAAGGTGAGAGAGTATATTAGCTGTGAATGTCTAGTCTTCAACCTCATCAAAGATTTGAGAAGGAAAATAACATTACTAGGGCAGGCAGGAAGTTCAAGTGTGCAACTTCTTAAAGGTGCAAGCAAAGACAGAAACAGCGGGCTACCTGGACAGTAAGCCAAGGTCTCACAGTAACATCAGGGCAACCAACTTTGGCTAAGGCATTGAAAGAGTGGAAATTTTTAGACAAATAGTAACTAATTCAAGTCTAAAAACCTGTTGCTTCTAGCACATCAAATTTAAGTACTACAAATGCAAAGATGCACTTTGAATGGATATTTATCTTAAATTGTATTGTGTGTGTATGTGTGTGTGCGTGCGTGCGTGCGTGCGTGCGTGTGTGTGTGTGTGTGTGTGTGTGTGTGTGTGTGTGTGTTCTCCCCTTCTACCATGTGTTTTCAGAGAATTGAACTCCAGGCTTACCAGCAAGCACTCTTGCCCACTAAATCATCTTGCCAGACTGGTAGTTATCTTTTGTTTTTGAGGGGCTTTTTTACATTTTTTATTAATTTATTTTTTACATTCCAATCCCAGTTCCCCTTCTTCCCCTTCTCCCCCTACTCACCCCCCTCACCTCCCGTCTGCTCCTCAGAGAGGGTAAGGCCTCCCCTAGGAAGTCTACTAAGTATGTCTCATCATCTCATTGAGGCAGGACCAAGGTAGCTCTCCTCCCCCCACAGACACACTCCTGTGTCTAGGCTGGGCAAGGTTTGTGCATTAATGTTAGACCTTGAACCCACTGCCAGTGACCTCATATATTGTCCCATTGCACCATTGTCACCTATATTAAGGGAGTCTAGTTTGGTCTTATGCAGGTTCCCTATTTGTCAGACCTGAGTCAGTGATCTCTCACTAGCTCGTCTCTGCTGATCCTCTGGATTTCCCCATCATGGTCTTGACTCCTTTTTCATATTGTCACTAAGCTAGAATCCTCTTCCAGAAACAAATGGAAGCAGATGTGGAAATCCACAACTAATGGGCCAAGCTCCTAGGGTAAAATCAAAGTGAGGGAGAACCTTTTGTTTGAAACAGGATTTCTCTGTAGCTTTGTAGCCTGTCCTAGAACTTGTTCTGTAGAACAGGCTGGCCTTGAACTCAGAGATCCACCTGCCTCTGCCTCCCTAGTCCCGGGAGTAAAGGTGTGTGCCACCACCAGAGAGCTCTGATAGTTATCTTAATGTTGTTCCACTAGAATATCATGAGAAAATCACTCTAACTGGATCTTGATAAGATCTGGGTTGTATATAAAAGTGAATATTATATTTCAGTGCGTTCTGCTTTGTTGTGGAATATTTGTTTACACCGTAAAGAGGTATTTTTGCCAAGGCTCCTGCTAATTGATTTAATAAAAATCTAAATGGCCAATAGCTAGGTAAGAAGAGATTAGGCTGCACTTCCACAGACAAAGAGGATTCTGGGAAGAAAAAAGTCCAAGTTGCTAGACAGACACAGAGAGGAAAAGGGAAGTGCAAGATGCAAGAGAGATAATGCCTCTCTTAATTTAAGTTATAACAGCTAGTTGAGACAAACCTAAGTTAAAGGTCAAGCTTTCATAATCAATAATAACTCTCTGGGTCATTATTTGTGGACTGGTGGTTCAAAGATAGTCCAACAAGAAAGCTTGCAACACAACTTTTATAGAAACACAATAGAAAAGAAGAATCCCCCAAAAGCTGTATTGGAACAGAAACAGAAAGAAAGATCTTTGACTCAGAAGCTAAGAATGCTTACTGTTCATAAAGTCCCTCACAGAACCAGGAAGGGACAAGTTCCCCAGAGCACAGGGGAAGAGGGGGGGGGCAGCGAATGAAGAGAGAAGTAGGAGAAAACGAGGGGAAGGAAAGGAAAACACGTGCAACCAGGAAGATTGAGCCCAGTCAGGAATAGAAGACAGGAGAGACAGAGAGAGAGAGTGAGAGAGAGAGAGAGAGAGAGAGAGAGAGAGAGAGAGAGAGAGAGAGAGGAGGGAGCCAATGTTGGTTTGAAGATAAAATTGAACACAAAGAAATGTCTAGAGAACTACAAGACTGCTGCCAACTAACAATTTGAGCATCTGTGGAAAGGCTACCATAAATACCCTTCCCGGATACTGAGATCAACAACTAACTTATCCATGGAGCCCTCATCTAATACCTGTTGGAAACAGGAGCAAACACCCATACATAAACACTGAGTTGAACTAGAACCTAGATGCAGATGGAGAGGACAAGACCAGGCAGCAGAAACACATAGAGACAGCTTACCTGAACAAGGAGGAGCTAACAGGCCCCCAGACTGATAGCTGGGAGTCCAGCATGGGACTGACTCAGGCCCCCCTGAATATGGGTCACAGCCAGAAGGACTGAGCAGTCTAAGGGATCTCAGACAGTGGAGCCAGGATGTATTCCTGGTACACAAAAGGACTTTGAGGACATATCCCCCATGGAGGGATAACTTCCTTAACCTAGAGACAGGAGAGAAGCCCTAGTCCCTACTTCACATGACCTGTCAGATCTACATGACCCCAACTGGATGGTATTCCCCTACATATGGAATTGGGGTGGGGGGATGGGAGGGGAGGGTGGTTAGGGTGCATGTGAGAGGGCAGAGAGGGTAAAAGGGAGGGAGGGATGGAGGGAGGAATGGAGGGAGGGAGGGAGAGAGGGAGGGAGAGGGAACTGGGATCGACATGTAAAATAATAAATTAAATAAAAAAAAAATGCTTTGACTCCAAAATTTAAGTTCAAGGACAAGTTACTGGGGAAAAGGACTTCTATTTTTGTTTCCACAGAAAATGAATAGCTGTGGATTCCTTCCAGACTAATGTGGTTTGATCAAGCCTGAAACAGACTACCAGGTGATCTTACATTCAAAACAGCTGGACAAAGCAGCCTCAAAACTACAGCCAGGATTTCTGCATCTTCTTAGAATCCCCCATGACAGTGCCCCTTACCATCAGGAAGTAGTTTGGAAAGAACGATGCCCAAATTCCCAAATATTGTCTATAAATGTTTGTTTTCATTTAAATGGACTTGGTTATATAAAATAAAATAATAAAAAAAAAAGGATGCTTACTGTTCTTGCAGAAGACCCAGGTTTACTTCCCAGCACCCAGGTTTACTTTCCAGCACCCACATGATGGCTCATGCCCTTCTCTAACTCCAGTCCCAGGAGATCTGATTTCTGACCTCCTTGAACTCCTGCATGCATATATATGCACTCAGACATAACACATACACAGAAAAATAAATGTTTTTTAAAATCTAAATGTACAACATGAGCATTTTATTTTATTTTCAATATAGGCTAATTATAGCTGTTTGATATTTTGTTTATATTTCCCTTTTTAAACTTACATCTATTAAGAAGATACAACAGTATGACTCACAGATTTTAAGTATCCAAGAATTACATTGCTGACAGAAGACAAAAATGAGAAATAGTCCTATTTTTTACCACTTAGTCTATTAATTACCACTAGCTGTTGCTATTATTTATTCTTACCACTTTGTTTAGATTAATACCAGTAATAAAACCGAAAATTAAACTAAAGAATTAAAATGAACATCAATTTTTCAACAAATAATACTGTGTTCAATTACTTCTTACATGTTACCTTGTGCATTTCCTTACCCAGTACAGTTGTGTTTTGGGTTGTCTTTTGAAAGGCTAATCATCCCAATAGTATAATAAAGTACATTGGGAAAAGCCTATAGAAACAAGGTACCATTTGTATATTGCAATAGACAAGTTTTTAAAACAAAACTGTGGAGGTTAAACAGTGCCTTTTCTTTTTATAAGTGTTATATACTATGTACAAACTACTCATTTATTCGTTTCTACTTATTTTGAAAGAGTAATTATTGTTACTTTTGAACACTGGTCAGCTGTTCTGAGCGTGGGGGAAAGACGCTACAGAATGAAGGTTCTCACCGAAAATAACGCATTCCTAAAGGCTTGGGGGGGGGGCACGGTGGGTGAAGAAGGGCTCGTGTGTGTGTGTGTGTGTGTGTATGTGTGTGTGTGTGTGTGTGTGTGTGTCTGTCTGTCTGCGTGCGCGCATGCGTGCACACGCACTGCGTGCCATCAAAGTTCAAAATGGCTGTCTGGAGGTCGGTTGATTTTGACGAGATCGTTGAGGTGTCTGATGAGGTAAACTGCTTGCTCTACCCAAAATGAAAGGTTTTCGAAGCCCCTAAAGTTTAATGTGTGTGGGGAGAATACTATCGTAGAATTTTAAGTAAAACAGTATTTGTTACAGCTAAGAGCTTCCCTTCAGTTGTGAGGAAGTGAAGGAGCCTTATTTGAGAGGCCTTGTTCACTTTTAGCACGGAGTTGGTGTAAAGATGCTTCTTACCATCACAGCTCTAGCCTAAATACCAAAGCACGATGAAATGTGATGTAATTTTGTGAGACTGCACTGATAGGACTTGTTCCTAACTAATGGGCTAAAGGAAAGAGACAATGTTGCTGCCTAATCTTGTCTGATCTAGGTATCATGGCAACCATGTCAAAGGCGGAAGATAGGAGAACAGTTGATGCATGTAGGAACAGGATTCTCTGACACCTTTTAAGCTAGAGACTGTTGACGGATGTCTTTAATTCTGGGGGCTGGAAGAGTGGGTGCCATGGCATAAATGTCATGTCGCTCAAGCCCAGTGGCATTTTTTTAGAGGAGGACGGGTCGTCAAATTTGTCTCATGAGAAGAGCCTTTACCCACTATGGCCTCTCTTTGCTCGTCCCTATGCCTAACATAGTCTGAAAAACACGGGACTAGGCAGTCTGGGAAGCAAGAAAGGGCCCAATTTGGACCTTAATGGCGTGAACTGTTCAGACTGTGAGAAGGGTAGAGGGAAGAAGGAGCTTATATATGCTTGACGGGAGCTCTACAAATGAAGAATAGTGGCTATTTCAGTGATTCTCAACCTTCATAAGGCTGTGACCCTTTAATACAGTTCCCCATGTTTTTTGTGATTATTAAACTTACTAAATATTATTACATTTTAATTATATTACATATAATTTGTATTTATATATATTTACACGCTAAATATAATATATAAATATATTAAATAAAAGCATTAATTTAATTAAATCTCCATACAATTATTTCCTTTCTACTTCCTAACTGTAATTTTGCTACTGGTATGAATCGTAATGTAAATATCTGATATTTATAGGCTGAGAAACGCTGGTATTTTGGGTAGGGTTGTCAGATTTAGAAAAGAGAATTCAGAATTCCTAGTTAAATTTGAATGTCAGCGAAGCAGCAAATTATTTTGTGGTATCAATATGGCCCAGGGAAAATTTAGTAATACACTTACAAAAATGTATTCATTGTTAATGTGATATTCAGATGTAAGGTGTTGTTGCATTTGCCCATGCCATGTTTGCCTTAAGACAGGTGGAGGAAGGGCCTCTGCGGGAAGTCCAGGAAATTGGAAAAGGGCCTGTGGTCATTAAGGGGTGTGAGAATGGTCGGGAGCAGAGCTAGAGATGCGTGGTGCAGTCACTGAACGTTGCTAGGGCGACTTCTCTACATCGTCTCAGAGCCTGCAGCTGTACCAGCCTGGGTAGCCGCGCCCACACAGGTGGGGGCTAGCGGCTGGGAACCCGCCCAGGCTGAAGAGCTGCAGGCTAGGCCCGCCTTCCATCCCCCACAGGGGTGGAGCCTGGGCGAGGAGGAATCAGCCTGCAGCTCTCTCTGCCTGGTTGAAGAGTCGCAGGAGAAAATGGAGTCTAGCAAGATGGCGCCTCCCAAGAACGCTCCTAGAGATGCCTTGGTAAGCGGGAGGGTAGCGAAGCCAGGCGCACTCGGAGATGCCCTGTATGGCAGACCGGACTTAGCGCCTGGTGGGGATAAAGTGGGTGGGGTGCCATTTGCAGCTAGCTAGGCGACTTGGCTGGGAAAGGGCAGTGGGGTTCACCGGTCCCTGGGGCGCAGTCCACGCTCCCGGAGCCCCTCCAGAGAGGTGCGGGCTACCTGGGGGCTTTTGTCTCGCTGGCTCCGGGCCGCCCCCATCCCCCAAGTCTGCAGCCTCCTCCCTTCAACCAGTCTATGAGCCCTGATTGCGACATGGGTTCTGATGCTAGCTTCCCTCACTGTCACATCCGAAAATGACAGCCAGCTGGACCCACCCCTACCTCTCCCTGGAAAGCTAGTTCAGGCCTTTCTTGTGTCTTTACTCCCACCCTTGCTAAAATAAAAATTTTCACCCAAAGCATATGACTGATTTTGTGTAATAACAGACACTCACTGGAGAAGGCACAAGGAGGGGCACTTTCAGACTTTGTAGCAAACATAAAAATATGCCACATTGTGCATCTGCTTTTTTGTTTTTATTTGAATCCACAGGTGATGGCACAGATCCTGAAGGATATGGGAATCACAGAGTATGAACCAAGGGTTATAAATCAAATGTTGGAATTTGCTTTCCGTAAGTTAAAAAAAAAAAAAAAAAAAGACTATGAACTAGAAAAGATCATTTATTGTAGCACTTTAAACCAAATTCTGTTACCAATCTAGAAATAAGTAAAGCACTAAGAAGGAGCTCAAGTTAAGGGACAGTAGTATATAGTATGTCTGTTTAAATAAAGTATCGTGTGAATAGGACAATTAGTTATTACAAGCAAGTCTTAAATGTTCCAGAAATTAGTGAAACCTTTTAAACCAAAGAGCTATAAATACTAGCATCCCTGCCTTAAAATATATATGTATAGCTGTATACATATATATATATATATATTCTTCATTCATGTAATAAAAATTATTTTGCTCTTAAAGGATATGTGACCACAATTCTGGATGATGCAAAAATTTATTCAAGTCATGCTAAGAAACCTACTGTTGATGCAGATGATGTGAGATTGGCAATCCAGTGTCGGGCTGACCAGTCTTTTACCTCTCCTCCTCCAAGAGATGTGAGCAAACATTTATTTGCAAATATTTTCACTTACACTTTAAATATTCTATCTCTAATGAGGATTTTTCTTTTAGTTTTTACTAGATATTGCAAGGCAGAAAAATCAAACTCCTTTGCCACTGATTAAACCATATGCAGGACCTAGACTGCCACCTGATAGATACTGCTTAACAGCTCCAAACTATAGGCTGAAGTCCTTAATTAAAAAGGTAAGAATTTCTGGCTTGATCCTAGAATCCCAGGCAGGAATTTCAGGAGATCAATGCCTTATCTCTTCAGGGCAATCCTGAGCTAAGTCAGTGTCTTATCTCAAAATAAGGAAGTTTCAAAATAAGGTGGACCGGGTAAGCTTATAAAAAGGAAACTTCCTGTAGATAGCACAGTAAAGGTTAAAATGTTTCTTAGAACTTTTTTTTTTAATTTTCAAAGCTATAAAGAACTTTCTTATTTCATCTAACCCAGTGGAAATTTTTCTCATCATACAAGGGAACCTCAACTCATGGAGACAGTGGCAAAACTAGGACTGATTTCCCAGATCTAGTAGCTCAATCTTTGTACTTTGCCACAGTTTTGTGTGTGTGACGTAAATTGCCATCAGCAATTAGACCTTTGTCAGACATATGACCTAAGGCTCTTTCAGTACTGAAAAAGGAATTCTCCATATTGGGCTACCTTTGAAATTCTGCTGGGAGACAGTTTTAATTTAGGCACAGTTAAGACACTAAGTTAGTATTTGTCTCCATTCATAAGACTCTACCTTGAATAATCTACAGAATTAGATAGGGTCATAACTATGTGTGTATGTATGCATGCATGCAAAAACTCCAAATATTGGATTTAAAACCCAGAAGACTTCAATCCCCAGTAGCATCACAAAAAGAAAATGAAAACAGACATTTTGCATTGGATCATCCACTAATAACTCACATCAAGTTATAACTTCACTTTTCATCAAGTCTAGGTGTCAAATCTTAACATTAAAACTAACTTGTGTTTAAATCCCCTAGGGACCTAACCAAGGAAGACTAGTTCCTAGATTAAGTGTTGGTGCTGTCAGTAGCAGACCTACTACTCCCACTGTAGGTAAGTGAAAGAGGCAAATGGCCTTTCTGGACGGTGAAAACAGCGTCTCAGCATTTGCTTTTGAACCATAACCCAAGTCAAAATGGGAGTCAGAAACTCCTGTATGTTGCCATTGATAATTTTACTTATCAATAAAAAAAACACAAAGATTAACCAATTCCAAATGACATTGGCCCAGCTCTTGTTGGTATACATTGTGATTCTAAAAACATTTCCACCTTCTATGCTTCAAGTCACCAAGCACACCCATGCCAGCTACCTACTTAATCAACTTAAGTAAATGTCTCCATAAAGTGGGTACAGATTCAAAGTTTAAAATCTACAGAAAGCTTAAGGATCTTAAAAATAAGTTTCAATACTTACATTTACAAGCAATACAAGGACCATCCTGGGTGACATAGAAAGACCCCATTTCAAAAAGGAAATCATGGTAAATATCTTATATTGAGAGCCCCCAAGCTATGTCCTGTAATGTATTTAATAGCTCTCATATTGTGTACATTTCCAAGCCTGTCTTATATTCTTTATCCAGCTTTTGGAATCAACAACTTCTCCAAAGACCCTTAGTTCTTTTTAGTGAATGGTGTTTAGGAATCATTGTTTTTAGCAATGTTAAAAAAAAGTTTTCTGATTTTTTTTTTCATGTTTTTCGGGGAAAAAATCCTTTTACAAATCTCATGGCTCTTGCTATATTTAACTTGAGTCTTTCCAGTGTCTTTACATTTCTAGTATAAGAATGATTAATTTTGTTTTTAAAACTGGGTCTTAATCTGTAATGCAGGATAGCCTTAAAACTTGTTATCCTCCAGACTTGTGAATATTCAGATTACAGTTGAGGAATACTGCCAAGATAGCATTTGAACTTTGAGGTGTGAACTATCTCGTATTCTCAGGATATAGATTTACATGTCAGCATTTTAAACTGTTGTTAGGTGTGTGTAGCTCCAATAACTTGCATATACCCCCAGGTGAGCAGAAATTTGCATATAAAATCCATGTACTTTTCAGTCATTAATACATACCTGTGTATTCACATTAAGTAAGTGAATATCAAATTTTTGCTTTTTTATTTTTTGGAAAGTTATCTCACTATGTAGCCCAGGCTTGTGTTGAACTCCTAAACTCAAGTGTTCTGCCTGTCTCTGCCTCTTGACTAGCCGGACTACATGCCACTCACTCACTGCACATGAAACAGCAGGATTTAGTGATGTAACAGGCAAGTAAGCAAAAAAAAAAAAAATCAGTTACGAGTTGCCATTACATTCTTTAGCGTGTAACACCTAGAATATAAATCTTAATTCAAAATTCCTCTTAAAGATGTAATCTTAAAAGTTAAGCAAACTTACACTTCTCTTTTTTAGCACAGTTAATACACTAAACTGAGGGGGGGGAAAACTCCCAAGAGTGAGGGATTATTTAAGAATACCCATTATAAATTTTTAAAATTACTCTGCCCTCATTTCTAATGACATTTTCTCATCTCCCACCAGCCCTCTATACTTAAAAGGTGTATTCCTGTAAGCTATGGAGTATAGACTATAAATATATAAGTCATCTAACTGATATGATCTGTTCATTGTAACTACAGCACCCCCACAAGCAGTATCTGTCCCAAATAAAGTTCCAGCTGCAGTGTCAGTGACAAGCCAAAGATTTGCAGTGCAGATTCCACCTTCTCAGTCCACACCTGCCAAACCAGGTAACGTGATATGGAAGCAGGGACAGAATTCATCAACAATTTTCAATCATACAACAGTTTGTATTACTAGAGAAAGACTTTTGCTTTAGTGTCACAACAGAAAGGCAGACAGGGTAGAGCTGCAAATGAGGGTCTCCACCATTAGGGGAAGTTGACATATATGTAACATTTCAGGAGGATAGCATATTGAGTGTGCTCATCAAATTCAAAAGAAATGTGGGTTCACAGATTTGTCTAGGGATTCGATTAAAAACTGAAGAAAATGATACCATTTAGTGAATGAAAATGTGCCTTTAGTTCACTTCATAGGTGACAGGCATGATTGGCATAACGTAAACAGGCTGCTGGCATAGCAATTTACTTATGTGTATGTTTAGACTGCATCTTTTAAAACTATCTCCATACAAGAAACAACTTAGATAAAAGTTGGGCCAGCAAGATGGCTCTGTAGGTAAGGGCATTTACCACCAAGCCTGATGACCTGGGTTCAATCCCCAGGACTCACGTGGTGTAAAAAGAGAACTGGCCCCCAAAAGTTGTCCTCCAACCTTTACATGTGTTCCATGTTACATACACCTGCACATACACAGAAGTAACATAGAAGTGCAATGACTTTTGAAAAATGCCCGACAAAAGAAACACGTCTCCAGGCCTTACACATGAATCTAGTGCATCAAATGCTAATTACAATTGAAATTGTTAACTTTGCAATGGATAGGTTTAGCAATATTTATCTATACATAGACCCAAACATTCTTATGCCTGATAAATACCACTATTAGCAAATTTAAGCTAAAAATGGATAAACATTGGATTCCACTCTTAGTAATTACTTGTATCTCTTCTGTGAGGCAGTTCTATGCTGCAGTCCAAACTTGTATAAAAATAACATTCTGCTTTGTTGTCTACTCTTGGATTATGGGCAATTGAGCTATGGGTTTTGGTGTTTGTTTTTTCCATTTATAGCTCCTGCGACAACTGCAGTCCAAAATGTTCTGATTAATCCTTCAATGATTGGCTCCAAAAATATTCTCATTACCACCAACATGGTTTCCTCACAGAACACAGGCAGTGACTCAAACCCACTGAAGAGGAAACATGATGACGACGACGATGATGATGATGATACTATGTAAGGAAAGAAGTCTGTTCTATACACATTAAAATCTTAGTACGTTTGAACCCATATGGTGGACTGAACAGCCTAGGTCTTCATTTAAGTTTTATCTTAGAAATGTAGTGGCAATATTTTTCACATTAGTTACACCTGGTAGGTTTCATTATTAGTACAAATGTTTTCTCAATAGGCTTCAGATATATAAGTACTTGTCTCTAGACTGCTTAATTACTGTTGAATATCACCATGGCAATTCTATTTTTAGAAGCAGTTTTGTGCCATGTCACTGACAGCAGCACTTGGATTTCAGTTTCTGGTCTCATTTACATCTAAAGATGACTTCTTTGTTAGATTAACTATTCCCATTGTCATTTTTGACCAAATCTCTCAATTTAGTGAACTTTTTGAAACAGTGGATTTAGAAGGGAGCTAAATCCATTTTGAATGTATCTGGGTTTTGGTCTTTTCTAACTCCCCACCTCAGCTGCTTATCAAGATCCCATTTGTTTTCTGTCCCCACCTCTCATCGCCTTAAGTCACTTACCATTGCACTTAAATTTAAGACGAACTGGAATCTGTAAAATGCCACATATGCCTAGCATTCTGTAGTTCACTTGAACCTGAGTGTCTGCATTTGCTTTTTCACTCCAGTTGGGTCTCGGCCCTTGCCTTTCATGCCTGTTAAGCTTTACTCATTGGCAGGCAGATGTATATCAGTTATATTCAGTTGCATTGTAAGTTCATAGCTTCACCATCTTTCCTATTTATAATTTAACAAAAACATTATAACATAAAACCTGCCTTGGTAAGCAGTTTACACTGGACATAGACAAACCACTGAAGAGCAAGTGTATATGCTTTGGTTACTACTGCTTGAATCAGTCTTATTGGTTTCATTCAGATCATCTGTCTAGCTTGCTGCTGAGGGTGTCACACATTAAGATGGAATCAACCCTAAGTGGATTCTAATGATTGTCCTTCCCCATCAGACCAACAGGGAAAACAGATTAGTGTCACCTGACTGCATTTACACATGCCCTACAGAAATTTCCCAACCATGTTTCTAAATACTATATTTTGTTTTCATGCATACCTACCTATAAGACTCACTGAGAAAGACTGCAAAACTTTCAAGAAAATAAAAAAAAAACTGATTTGGTAACTTTAAAGTTCCATATAGCCAACACTGGAAAAATGTTCTAAGCAGAACTTCCTAAAACCTTCCCATTATTTAGATTTATAGCCATGGGTCATCAAAAGTATCAGTATTAGGATGGTGTTTCACACATGAAAAGTAGTACTGTAACAAGACAGAAATGTCCATTTAAATGTGTAAGAATGTTAGGGAAAGTTGAACTGATCAATTTAAGAGAAATGTGCATTATACAACAGGGATGTCACTACTTGAATGTTCTCAGGGAGGCAGAATATCAGGTGGCCTAGGTTCTAGTACTAGTTTCATTACCAACCGTGTGACCTTACTTTACCTCTGAGCCTTGTCCTCACTAATAGGGAAACACCTACCCTGCCTACCTCACAGGGATGTTGTGAGGGTTTAGCTGGTATGTGTGAGAGAAAGTTCAAGATTGTAAAAGCTATAAGTAAATATTAACGTATTTGTTCCAAGATTATTAATAAAAAATTAACTTTATCACTGACATTTCATTGCTGACTGAAGAGATTCAGGAAAAGTAAGGCAACAGTATAGCAATACAGATCTATTGCTGTGGCATCAGGGAACGGGTTGCTTCCCCTGGGAATTGACATTTGAATCATGGTGAAATCAATTGAAAATCAGATGGGTTTAAATCTTACAAACCAAGATGTTCTCTTTGGGAATTTGTAAAGAGCTCTGAACCAAACTAAAACTGGTCTAAGGAAGGGTGCTTCTGGTGTGTGGGGGGGGGGGAGGACTGGAAGAGGGAATCAAAATTGGGTATTAGGAAAAAAAAACAGGAAACAAATGAGCTAATGATGAAATTTAAGCTGGGAGTGGTGATGCATACCTACAATTCTAGCACTCAGGGGGCTCTGGCTGGATCAGGATCAGTTAAGTTTGAGGCTAGCATGAACACTATAAAATTTTTGCCATTACACAGCTCACCAAAAAAAAAAAAAAAAAAAAAAAAACAAAACACAAAATTTGAATTCCTCATTTATAGCATGGGAGTTATTGTGGATATATTAGAGGATTGAAAGTGATTTTACTATTTAAAACCTGTCTTTTCAACATTCTTATCGCATTGCACATGTACAGAATAGTCCATTCCTGGCTGTCTTCTTTCATTAGGTTTTAAATTTCGTCACGACAAAAATCTTAACATTCATTCCCTCCACTGAGTTTTTAAGTACATAGTGGTATGAAACTGTCTGGTTACTTGCCAGGCTCTTTTTTTTTTAAACTGGAGTTTCTCTATGCATTCTCTGAATTAAAAATCTAAATAGGGGCTGTTTTCCAAGACCCTGGTTGGATTCCCAGCCCCTACATGGCAGCTCACAAACATCTGTAACCCCAACAACCTCCTCTCACCTACACAGGCACTGCACTGCACATGTGCATAGACGTGCATAAAAAGTCAAAAACTGAATGAACTTTGTAAACAGAAATTCCTGGAAAGTCTCACAGTACTTAAAAGATACAATGAAAAAAATTGATAAATGATGCTGTCAATTCTAGCCTAAGTACTAAATGCATGGATCTTTATAGTTCTTTCAGCTTCTCTGTGTACTTGTAATAAAAGTATTAAAGCAAAAGCAGTTTGTGTGGCAAGGAGGAAGTTAGCTGAACATCTGGAGCAACAGTAATGGTAATGTTGACTTGTTATCCCTGAGCCCTCAGCTACCAAAACTAAAATTCCTGCTACTCAAACCAGCATCTGATATTGTTCTCATATAGAAACATGGTACAATGTGAAATTAACTTCCAATATGGAAAAGTGTATTAACTATAATGCAAAAATTAAAATAACTGCAGATTTTACAATTTCTGCTTAAGTAATTGCCAAATTAACTTGACAGTGACACTGAAAAAATGCCTTCAACTCTGATAAAATGATATTCAGGCTATAACTATATACCATCATGTTACATAACCAAGGGTTTATAATTAGATAAACATGAATATCTATGATATAGAAATAATTTTATAGAAAGAATGAGCACCAGACATTTTGTTATCTAAGATACCAAATGTTTGTAATAGATTTATAAAAGGTTTTATATACCCTTTGGTATTTTATAAAGCATAACCAAATTAATAATCAAGTTTAAGAGCTGAATAGCCATTTCAGACTAAGTCTCCGATCTTCCTCCTTGGCAGTCTCTCAGGAAGTTATTAAGTCCAGACTTATCTAAAAAGTCAATCAGCCAGCTATGGTGATACATTCCTACAATCGGCACTCCGAGGGCAAAGGCAAGAGGATCACCGGAAGTTTAAGGCCAGCCTGAGTTAGGTAAACTCCAGCCAGCCAGGGCTAGTTAACTCAAAAGAGTAAAATGAGAGGCAGTTAACGCTAAAAAGGGAGTCAACTGAGAAAGGGGAAGCAATGGTTTCCAAGGTGTAAGGGAACACCCCAGAGGCATACAACAAACCTAGGGCAGCCAGTAAAACTGGAACAGAAGCACCAAGGATTCAAGCAGCTTTCTAAACTATCTGATGTTTACATAGACCCAGGGTTCACATTTTTAGTGGAAGTTATAAAATATGAGAAAATAATTTTCTGTTTTGAGATAGGGTCTCACTTTATAATACCCTTGCTTGGTGTAGAACTTGGTATTTCCTAGGATTAAGGACATGTGCATCTTGCTCAGAAAGAAAAAAAATGTGAACTATTCATTGTAAAGAAAATTAAAATGACGAAAATAAAGCATACTACATACATATATGCCATGTATAACTCATAAGGTAAAGTTAGATAATTATAAGCAAACACTATGCAGACTCCTCACAATGTAAATCCCTGTAATTTATAGTAATGGCCAAACGATACTGAAAATGAAGAAGTGTATGTGAAACAGACTGTTGGCTTCACTGAAATTAATAGACATGTTTGAAAAGCTCAGTACTTGGAGCCATGAAATGGGAATCAAAATGAAAACCAATGGTCACACTAGGGAATGTGAACAAGAATGGGAAAAATGAGCTAGGGCTTGTCTTGGTTGATTGTTTATAAGCCTTGTCATCAAAAATTACACAATCTAGCTGGACTATGGTGGAACATGCCTTTAATCCCAGCACTTGGGAGGCAGAGGCCAATGTGTCAGTTCAAAGTAAGCCTGATCTACAGAGCTAGTTCCAGACAGCTAGGGCTGTTCTGCAGAGAAACCCAGCCTTGAAAAAAAAAAATCAAAAAAAAAAAAAAAAGAACTGGAAAACATTTGTAATAAATCAAGAGTAGGCTTTCATTAAGGAACAGGCATTTATCTAATTCCACCTCCCCAGTATTGCAGCCCCAACCCTTCCATTCAAAATGTGGATACTCGATCCCATCAAGATTCTTATTCTCACTGTACAGTGGTGGTAATCCCAGCAGTCGGAAAGCAGAGGCAGGATCTTGCGAGTTTGAGGCAAGCCTGGTCTATAAAGCTATAGAGAAACCTTATCTTGAAAAAAAAAAAAAAGAAAAAGATTCTATTCTCATCCTTCCTACAAAAGTATGACAGGAAAACTCCAGTTTCAGTGGACATCTTTATTAATAGAGCATCAACTTCTCCAAACCTACAGCTGGAATTTCATCTTATTTCCATGCTGCATCATAAACAGTGACCAAGCTAACCAGAAGCTAGTCAAAGAGAACTAAGCTTTTATAGCTCACTTTCTTTTACAGGCAGAATATAAATAGATGCACTCTAGAATGCACTTAGCCACTAAGGGATTTAAATGGGATCTTGAAGAATGTAGACAAATCCCGATGCAGTAAAGATGAGCTGAGATGCTGTGCAAGTGTTTAAGGGTTCCTGGTGCTGCATCTCCGCCACTAGCTGAGTCTTGTGCTAACACCAAATGGAGATGTGGAAAACACACTAAGTTGACTTAGGGGCTGTGCACAGGAACCAAAAGGCAGGAAATACTAAACATTGCTGAGAGCATCCACCCCAGGAAGGACTTTACCTGTTTTTGAGAGAGCACATATACAGACAGCATTACTGTAAGACCCACTAAACTACATCTGCCCCTTTGTCTTACTGATAAAATGCCAACTCTTTGTTAGGTTTATAGGGCAGGAGTTCCAAAACTTCTGCATGCTAGGTCCCAGGTCAATTAAAACATGTTCCTACCCACCCCTCCCACCAAGTAGGTTGCAGGTGCTTTGTCTTTAGATATGATTCCTAGTGACAAAACTGGCCAAACTAATTCACTCTGTTCCCCACCCTGCCTTTAATAAACCAAAACAAGAGAATAACCTCACCTTCCAGCAGCTCCAGACTGGCGCCACCCCCAGTGCTGACATGGCTGACTTTATCCTCTGTATTCCATTTGGCACAGCAAGTGGCAGTATCTCCACCACCTGTTGAATGAAGCCCAGAGAAAACTGTTTTGGCATCCAAACTGTCAAACCGTGTGCTTCCCAACCCAAAATGTAACTAATGAACTCCCCACTCCATCTCAAGAGGATCCCCCAAGAATGACACCTCCATGAATTATCAGATTTTCCTGAGAGCCTAAAGACCCAGAAAATATTCCCCTACCCCCTTGCCTCCCCTGAATACAGCTCTGCCACACTGTACTAGCTTGAGTTTAGTACAGGATCCCTTACCTATGATAGTGATGCAACCCCTAGAAGTGGCTTTTACCACCTCATCCATGAGGGACTTGGTTCCCCTGGCAAAAGCTTCCCATTCAAAAACCCCAACAGGTCCATTCCAAACAATCTGCTTAGCTCGAGCCACAGCCTCAGCATATTTCTTGCTGCTCTCAGTACCACAGTCCAAGCCCTGGGGGGGGGGGAGAAACAAATGAGGATGAACTATTAAAAGAAACTTACTAGGACCAAATATCACCCCCACCAAGACCACAGAACAAACATTAGAAATTGAAATTTCTAATGTACATATGCCCCTTGACAAAAACAAGGCAAAACCTCATGCTACTGAATGGCAGCCAAGATCTACATTGGTGCTTCTCAACCTAGGTCAAGTTTGCCTATCAAGCGAGTATGTTATACTGGCTGGAGATATTGGCTGGTTGCTATAAGATGGGATGAGCATAACTGACATCTTGCAGCTAGTGACATCTTACATATGCCTTGCCACAACTATGAGATGTCAATAGGGGCTGATAAACACTGAACCACATCAGTTACGTTCAACCCTCCCATATATCATAATGTCCATGAAGCTTTGCAAGCTCCCATGTTAAAGCCCACTCCTAGGGTTTGATTTTGTAAATCAAAAAAGTGCTAAAGAATTTGCCTCCTTTTTGTTTTTTTGTGAGGCTGGATCTGACTATATATATATACATATATATATGTGTGTGTGTATGTGTGTGTATGTGTGTGTCTTTCAAACATTTTCATATAGTGCTTACAATTCAGTGTAAGCACTATATGAAAACATGTTTATCTTACTGTTACTCATTATCTTACTGTTATCTTACTGTTTATTATCATTGTTATTATGGGGAACATGAATGTGCCATGTACAAGTCAGA